ACATGAAAAACTCATAAACTGTGTTTTATAATAAATTAAACCACCCGACAGTTTATGCAAGTGCAGCTGAAACAACTACCGTAAATTTCAGACTACAAGCTGCTACTTTTTTTCCACACGCTTTAAGAGAGCGACAATGAGAGCGACAACGAAAGAGAGACTGAGGAAGTGTGTGACAAAGTAATTCTATTCGATTCCGACGCTGAAGAAGACGACTTCAGTGGTTTTAGTGGCAGGAGGAAGATGAAGATAGCGATCAATGACTTTTCCTGGTAGGCTGCTGTAGTTTTAATTTTTTTAAACCAGCCGTGTTACAGGTGCTGTTCGGGAAAAAAACATATTTGTGAATGTTAGCGGTACGTATTTAATATAAAGTTAAAAAAATCTTTCTGTGTAAATATCTCATGTTACAACGTGGACACCTGCAGCTTAAAGACCAGTGCGGCTTATATTCAGGTGCGCTCAATAGTTCGGAAATCACTCAATTAATGAGTCAGTTGACTGAGAGAAAACGATGAAAGAATTTCTCACTACTTTCAGGATTTTAAAAAACCAACCATCAACGGATTAATAGAGAAAATAATCAGCAGAATGAAAACTGTCATTAGTCAGAGTTGGATATGAATTAGTTTTAAATGAGCATCACCTCAACCTTTAACAGTAAAATCCTGCTTTTACATGAATGCCTGAATAAAAGTCATTCATATATCTTTTTCCTAATAGTATACTAGTAACAGGGGACATTTTTCTGCATTAAGTATTTTTATTTTTAGAAGGCATGACATACTTTTACTTAACTTGTACTTTTACTTTAGTAGAGAATCTGAGTATTTCCTCCAGCCCTGGTAATGAGAAAAAGAGGCATTCAAAGAGGTAAAGGTGCCCATAAAGCTGTAAAAGAGAGAGAGACTGTGGAAAGACAAGACCTCCACACCTGTTAACACCGATGTCTTTGAAACTACACGCTCTGGTTACCGCTCAGCACGTCTGTTTAAAATTTATAATCTCCGAGCCTGATGACATCACTTTGAAAGAAAAACTAGAAAGCTGCTGCAGAGCCTTTACCCGGCTGCGTTATCGCCCCTGACAAGCTCTATGTGTAAAAATCTCTACAAGGTCTCCTAAGTTACCCTCACGTCTGTTTTTTCACCTCATCGCCTCGAAACTCTGCAATAAAAATCCCGTTTTTGCGACGCGACACACTTTAGAAATATGGGCCTCCATCATTTATGCACTAAATTAAATACTCAGCATGCACGACATCAGCTTCTCATTTTAAAAGATTAGATTTAAACATGCGCATCCTGCACAGGTTTACAGATTCTCATTTTGAACTAAATTGACAACATCAGGCCATCGAGTGCGAGGCAATCTCAGCACACGAGGGAAGACGCTCTTATTATCTCTCTAATGTGAATCAAAATGAAATCCAATCATCTGTCATATCGCAGAGGCTGCTGCAGTTTATCCATTACGTAGTATTTCCCTGGAACACCATAAAGAGATCAAGCTCATTAGATTGTCAAATGGCATATGAGCCACGCATCATTAGAAATTCCTAATGCCTTACCTATTTCCTGCTATTGATCTCGAGGAAGCCTAACGTTAAGGCGGCCTGTCATCTCGCTGCTTAACAGACAGAGAGAGAGACACGGAGCCATTACTTTCCTCTTGTTTGGAGAACTTCAAAAGGGGGCGAAAACCTCCGGTGAGAGTCGGGAGGCTTGGGAACGCAGGTGGAGCTGGAAGGAGAAGGAGGGGGATGCAGGGATGGAGAGAGAGAGCGCTCGGAGATGGAGATGGAGGAGCGAAGAGGGGAGGCCCTTTGATCTCTGGCAAAGAAGCGAGCGCTGAAGAAAAGAGACGGAGAGCAGCACAGAAAGATTGCAAACAAGGCATGCACTCAAATCCCAACAGGAGCGAGAAGAGACAGACGGAGGGAGGAAAGACAGAAGGAGAAAGGAAAAGTCCAGCAGATTGAGCGAGACAGACATGAGAGGGAGAGAATGACAGGGTCACAGAGAGGGATGGAGAGGAAGAGAGGGGAAGACAGAGAGGATGAAAATGAAGTAGAGGGAAACAGATAAGACCGGGATGTTAAAAGGATTCCAGTCCGGGGGCTGTTTGGGGAGTTCTCTCAAGCCCTATGCTAAAGCAATTAGTATTGAACCCCTTCTAGGAAAGTGCAGCCAAACCACAGCGGCAGGCGCTAACGTAGTTAGTGTGTAGCAACCAAGTCGAGCAAACCCCACGGTCCCCATTAAACCTCAAGTTTTAATTGGTGTGTCAGGATGGTGCTGCGTTTCACAACCCACGAGTGTGCTCCCACACACAACAAAAAAAAAAAAGTTGGTCCAGCGAGGCCGAGCATCCCACTTCAAGTAGAAACCCCCGGACAGCAAACAGGGCTGGACTGAAGAGGCCCGATAACCAACATTAAATGCGAAAACAATATCTCAACATAACTGTTGCTAATATGACTGCAGGGAAGCACAAGTTGTGCACCTCTTTGTTTACTTGACACAAGTTCATAAGTTCACAAAGTTTTGGGTTAAACGCAGTATTTTAACCCAGTTTTACTTTCTCTACAACTAAACTG